TTTTTTGGAGCAGTTCACAAAGCCTGCTGTTGTCGCTGCAGGCACCAATGGATTATCTTTATCTGGACTACCTAAGAGTAAGCTCAGACGGAAGGCATACGGAAAAATCGCGATTAATCCGATGCTTCCCCTCCCCCCCAAAAAACAGTCAACTCTTGGTGCAATGTCAAAAGGACGTCTGATACGATAGGATATCAGCCCGCTGATGTCAGTTCCCCAGAAATAGTAGATAAATATTGCGGGCTATAAAGTGTACCGAGTTCTATGCGACGGTAGGTCCTAAGCTGTCTCAAATTATCTCACACTTTTTCAATGAAAAGTCATTAAGCACATACGTGGAGAGAGTGACCTTAGCGTGGTGGAGATCCGGAAGATTTACTTAGACAAAGTCCATAGAATAAAAAATAAACCCGGACATTCAATCACTTGCTTGCAATGATACTGCTTGAAGCGCCTAGCACATTGGAGGAACCAAGCAATTTATAGAGGGATTCTTCTCTCAAAGTCCAAGCAACCTAAGGCCCTGTTGGAATAAAATCTAGGGATAACATCATATCTCTTAAAAAACCTGCAACTTACCAAATCTATAAATACAACAATATCCCCATTCTATAGCGGATATTTCTGTAATAAGCCACTAAGAAGACGTTTGGTTGTAGCCCAATTAATGCAGTAATTCTTCTCAACTTGATTTATCAACTTAGAACAGTTACGAAGAGACATTAAATCAAATGGAGTTTCCTCGTAGAACTTGATCTTTCTAATATTTTAAATATGTGAAGAATAGTTGGGCTTTAAGAAATTTGTTATTTTATAAGTATTGAGCTCCCTTCCACTTCGCCCTTAGCCGCAGTTATGCCTTCCTAAATCAAGCAGTATTGGTCAACCCTGCAACTAAGCATATGTATAAAAGAGTTTAGAGGGCAGATAATAAAATTATATATTTAAATATAACATGAAAAACAATTGCGATTTACAGAATTATGCATATATGCTTTTATCTTAAAGAAAGGTACAGCATGATATACCATAAAGAAGAATAGCCCATCCGTTTATAAGTATGCGGAAGTGCCAAAAATAAGGTAGTAAGGGTTCCGTGTTTAGCTTGTTATTCATAAATATGGAGGAGAATAAAGAAAAAAAGAAATCTGGGGAATGTATTTGCAACAGCCGAGTCATGAAACTGCATAAATCGTACCGCCAAATTTTAAAACAAGAGAAAGAGCAGTTTTATTTGTTGATGCCAGAATGAAAATAAACCAAGAGAAATGGATATAATTAAAGGTCAATTGATGATAAAATAACAGCAAGATAAATCGCCAATCTAGGTGGCGATCAAGTGAGATCTTCATCTCCACTAATGGTACGCTTGATCTTAAGAAAGAGACTAGTGGTCCACGGTTCAAGGCGAGTCAAAGTGTCGTATTCGGTAAGCGCGGTAGTGAAGGCCTCAATATTTTCATTCTCAAGAGCCTCGGATATTTTCTAGTGATGAGGAAGGTAGGTATAATAAAGGGATGAGTAATTCGCGAAAATAAAATCTTTTATAAGCTTAAAAAATAGCCTTATTTTAGATATGGTCTTATCTATCAAATTAAGTACTTTAAGACAAAATGGATCGAGTTATCAACTTTATATAGCTTTAAACTCATAATTTAATATATGAGATTTGATGCCAGGATAATAATATGAAAAGTTTATAAACGTAAATAATCATAATTATTTTAAAAGCTCCTCATTGCTATGTGAAAATGGCAAAAAATATTAGATAAATATGGATTCTCTTTCGGTACATATTCTATGACTGAGAGAATGGCAAATTATGAGGATGCCTATAATATATTCAGATAAATATTATGCAAAGAGAAAATTAATGATGTCAGGCGTCAATCTTATTAGAAGTCGTCATTTGTGTTTATTCGATTTTGGCGAGCGAATAGTGATGCCATTAAAACCTGAATCGGATTAATAAGTGAATCATAGAAAGAGAAACAAAAGAATGTATTCAATAAATGATAAGATTCTTGTCTCAACTCGAAGCATACAAAATATATGGATGATGAGAGACAGGAGTTCTGATGAAGTGAAAACAAGGGCTGAGATAGAGCTTATGAAGATAGGTGAAACGAGAAATAGGTCAAAGGAGGACCAACTTATCAATTTGGTTTAATTTTACACAGGACCACGGATAAGCATAAGGGCGAGAAGAGCATTTATAGGGTCGAGTGATTCAATCAAATCCAGATGAGCCATATAGTGGCAAAATAGACGTCAAATTTTAAAAGAAGTAGCATCGCTCAATTATAGTACGTAGGAATATGAATATTTAATGAAAAAAGAGTAAGATATAACTATGGAAATAAAGCAAAATAATGAAATAGTTCTATATTTAAAAAGTTCAATGGGTCATAAATCTACCTATTTAACAATCTTTAATTTAAAAATGGGACTCTAATATTTGCCGCTTTGCTACGCGGCAAAACGCAAAATATTGATTTAAATGAGACGTTACTTACCTTTAACAAGGTACATTCCCGAGAATCTGCGAACATTTGATAATTTTCTTCATAGATTTTCAGAGCTTTTTGACCATTGATTAGATCAATGCAAAATTGGCAAATCACCGCCTTGAAAAAATGTTCCTTTGCACCATAACGCAAAAGTTTGTTTTCAGACGAAGCCTTTCCAGCCTATCAAATATTGATAATGAATAAAATACAATTCGTATTTATGATATTGTTGATAAAATGGAAGGTACGAATGTTCAGACACTAACAGAAAAGTTTGCTAGAATTGAATGCGAAACAGCATCGAACTCAATATGAGGGATGGCATTTTGCCTAAGGATCCAGATGGAGATAAAGGAAAATAATGAAATTGTCCTATATTTTAAAAGTTCAATAAGGCATTGATCTACCTATTTAACGATCTTTAATTTAAAAACGAGATTAAAATATTTGCCTCTTTGCTAAGACCTACATAGTCGAGGTGGTCGTCGCAATCAAGTCTAAATTTAAGAATACCAGAATGAAAAAAGTTAATCGTAATTGAGACTTGCTGTTACAGGACTTGGAATAAAATTAGACTCAAATTAGTGACAACTCTTTCTGTAGTAACTTTTTAAAGATTTTTTTATGAATGCTCGGATTATAGAATTAAATAAATGGGATAGAAGTGCAAGCTAGGGGCTTTAGGTAAAAATTTAAAGGTGTAATAGACATAAATATACAAATATTTTTTTAAATAAAGCAATCAGATTTTTACTCTCGAGATAGATTATCATAGAAAACCATTGGTAAACATGAAAAAGGCAGGAAACCAACAAACCTCTTCGAATAAGACGGCAGCTTTATCATATTGCCCCAATGTGGCTGAAAAATGAGCCACTTTTAATTGGCATTTCATCGCGGAGCTATTAGAATCTTCACCTTTATAATATTCGGAAGCAAGTTCATAATGTTTAATCGATTGTTCTATGTCATAAAGGTCTTGCTCGTAAATTTCAGCAATAGACATATGTTGCTTAGCAGCTATACTGAAGCGTCCCATTTCTAAGATAAGAAAAAACCCAAATGAACTCAACTGTAATAAAAAAATTTAAGGAATAAACTCAGTGATTTGACCTGTATAAATTTCAATGGCGTCCTTAAGGACCTTTATGGCTTTTTCAGGACTAGACTTCTTGTATGCCGTGGCAGCTTTAGAATAATGAGCAGCAGCCTCGTGATTAGTTTTATTATCAATACATAGTTTTGCAGCTTTGCAAAAAGCATCACCAGCCTCTGCGAATATGGAATATTATATATAAAGACTACCATCCCATTTCTTTGCGATCTTAAAAGAGTTTGCAGCCTTTTCGTACAAGTCTTTTGCCTCTTCTAGCTTGTCAGAATGCCTAGAAATAAATAATACTGTGCAATGTAAGTAAAAAATAGTTATAGGAGTGTAGAACAGGGTATGACAAATCTAGGGATATTAGCAAGGTAGGGATGAGAAATTAAATTAAAAATTAATTACCCCCCAAGAAAAAACGAAATAAATCCG